AACAACAACAACAACAACAACAACATGAAACAAGAAGTGCATGAACTGCTGTATGGAAAATGAATTTGCTTTGTAAACTTTCACCCAAATCACAATAAAAGTTAAAAATATATATGTGTCAACTTGGCTGGGATATGATTACCACTACTTTATGTTTGTGATCCATTTCGTGATCTAATGTAATTATCTTCCATTTTATGTGTTGTTAATCCTAACCTCTATATGTTAATGGATGGAGCTATGATGGAAAAGTACCTAAGGCATTTGACTGCTAACCAGAAGTTTGGTGGTTCAAACCTACCAGCTGCTCCATGGAAGGAAGATGGGGCAATCTACTTTCATAAAGATTTACAGCCTTGGAAACCCAATGGGGGTCACTATGAGTCAGATTCCACTTGATGGCAGTAAGTTTGGTTTTTTTTTTTTAAATATATGTTAATGAGGAAGGATTGTTGTTGTTGTTGTTATTTGCCGTCGAGTCGGCCCCGACTCATAGCGACCCCTCCTTGGGATTCCGAGGCAGTATCACTATGGAAGTAGGATTGCCCAACCTTCCTTCTGAGGAGTGGCTGGTGGGTTTGAACCACCAGCCTTCTGGTTAGCAGTCAAGTGCCTTAGGCACTATGCTACCAGAGCTCCTAAGGAAGGATTAGTGTGGGGTATATTTTAAGTCACAGCCTTAAAGGTGTGACTCAAAACACATCTTACTCAAGTCACATCTTTTCTCAAATCATACCCTTGCTTGAGTCACACTTTTTATCTTTTGTTGTTGTTGTTGTTGTTAAGTGCCATCATAGTAACTCCATGTACAACAGGACAAACTACCGCTCAGTCCTGGGCCATCCTCACAATCATCACTATGTTTGAGCCATTGTTGCAGCCACTGTGTCATCCATATAATTGAGGATCTTCCTCTTTTTTGCTGACCCTCTACTCTACCATTATGTCCTTCTCCAGACAGTGGTCCCTCCTGAGAAATGTCCAAACTATATGAGACAAAGTCTCTCCATCCTCCCTTCTAAGGACCATTCTGGCTGTACTTCTTCCAAGACAGATTTGTTCATTCTTTTGACAGTCCATGGTCTATTCAATATTCTTCACCAACACCATAATTCAAGTGCATCAATTCTTCTTCAGTCTTCCTTACTCATTGTCTAGCTTTCACATGCAGATGAGGCAATTGAAAATGTCATGGCTTGGGTCAAGTGCACCTTCGTCCTCAAGGTGATATCTTTGCTTTTTAACACTTCAAAGAGTTCTTTTGCAGCAGATTTGCCCAATGCAATATGTTATTTCATTTCTTGACTGCTGCTTCTATGAGTGTTGATTGTGGATCCAAGTAGAATGAAATCCTTGACAACTTCAATCTTTTCTCCTTTTATCATGATGTTGCTTATTGGTCCATTTGTGAGGGTTTTTGTTTTATTTACATTAAAGTGTGTAGTAGTTAAGGTTGTATGTTCACTTGGCTGGGCCTGGTTGAGTGGCTGGGCAGCTGGATGTAGTTATTCCCCATGATGAGATTGGTAGTTAAGTCCATGGTGCAATCTATGGGAGAAGCTGAGTAGTTGCTTTAGGGATGTTGCCTGCTTCCAGCATATAAGAAGCAACTTTAAGGAAGGTCTACAGTTGATGGCATGTTTGAACCCTGCATGTAGCCGAGTCATTGTTCAGCAGCCTGCCATGTTGCCCTGCCAATCTTGGGACTTTTAATGGACTTGAATTAATGGCCTTCTGTGTGGTTTGGTAGTATCAGGACTGTGATTTTTCACTTGTCGGCCTTGGGTTTGTCAGCCTCAGCAGCTAGTAACTGCCTCAGAGAAAAGATGTCTTTAGCTTCACTAGGCAGGGAGCAAGAGGCAGAGCTGAAGCCCAAGGTCAAGGGGCTTTCACCCAGTCCCTAAAGCCTGGCACCTGGAACTCGGACTTCTAACCTCCAAATTGTAATAGAATAAACTCTTGTTTGTTAAAGTCATCCCATTTGTGGTTTTTCTGTTGGAGTGGCACCAGGTAACCAAGACAAAGTGTAATCTTTGATCTTCATCTTCAAGTCCTCTTCCCTTCCAGCAAGCAAGTTTGGGCCATCTGCATATCTCAGGTTGTTAACGAATCTTCCTCCAATCCTGATGCCATGTTCTTCTTCATACAGTCCAGCTTCTTGGATTATTTGCCCAGCATACAAATTGAATAAGTATAGTGAAAGGACATAATCCTGATGCACACCTTACCTGATTTAAAACCATGTAGTATCCCCTTGTCCTATGTGAACAACTGCTCTTGGTATGTGTACAGGTTCCATATGAGCACAGTGAAGTGTTCTGAAATTCCCATTCTTCACAATGTTATCCATAATTTGTTATGAGCCACACAGTCAAACACCTTTGCACAGTCAATAAAATACAGGTAAATTTCTTTCTCATATTCTTTGCTTTCAGCCAAGATCCCTCTGACATCAGTAATGATATCCCTCATTCCATGTCATCTTTTGAATCCAGCATGAATTTCTGGCAGGTCCATGTCAATGTACTGCTGCAACCAGTTTTGAATTATCTTTAGCATGATTTTACCTGAATGTATATTAATGATATTATTCAATCTATTTCTGGATATCTGTTGAATCATCTTTTTTTGGAATGGGCACATATATGAATCTCTTCCTGTTGGTTGCCCAGGTAGCTGTCTTCCAAATTTCTT